GGCCCTGCTGCAGATTCACATACCCAGCCATGACCGGGGAGGAGGTGGAGCTGTGCAGCCGCGGCCGCCACATCCCCGTGGCGTGAGTGCTCAGCGGGCGGAGGCGGGGGGGGGGGGGCAGTGAGGGCGGGTCCGGGGCAGGAGGTGCCGAGGACTCGGGACCGTGGGTGCCCGAGGGATGGGGGGCCCCGACCCCCCAGCGGCCCCATCAGCCTCCCCGGCCTTCCCCGGCAGCTGGGAGAACAAGGACGTGTACGCGGCGGCCATCCGGAGCCTGCGGCTGCGGGAGCTGCAGAACGTGGAGTGCGTGACGGCCGTGCGCGCGGGGCTGGGCTCCGTCATCCCGCTGCAGCTGCTCACCACACTCAGCCCGCTGGAGATGGAGCTGCGCGCCTGCGGCCTCCCCTACGTCAACCTCGAGTTCCTGAAGGTGCGCCCCGGGACCCTGCCGCAGGGGCTGGGGGGCCCACAGGTGCCTGTGGGGCCCCGGTCCTGGGCTCACCTCCGGGCCTCCTCCCCCAGGCCCACACCATGTACCAGGTGGGGCTCATGGAGACGGACCAGCACATCGAGTTCTTCTGGGGCGCCCTGGAGATGTTCACCCAGGAGGAGCTGTGCAAGTTCATCAAGTTCGCCTGCAATCAGGAGCGCATCCCGTTCACCTGCCCCTGCAAAGACGGGGGCCCCGACACCGCCCATGTGCCCCCATACCCCATGAAGATCGCGCCTCCAGATGGCACAGCAGGTAGCCTCCTTCCCGGGACGGGCTCCCGGAGGTGACCCAGGGACCCTCCCCTGAGATGGGGCTGGGCCCTGCCCGCGGGAGGGAGGGGCAAGGCCCTGTGAGTGGGGGGACAAGGGGCGCCCCGAGTTCCCTCTCCTGATGTTGGAAAACATGAGGAATCCAGAGACATTGGCGTCTTCCAACTTCCAGATGCAGAGAAACAGTCCAGTCCATAAATTCAAGCACGTAGGCGGGGAGAGACTGGGCGTTGCCTGCGTGTGGCCGCGCCAGCCTGTCTGTGCCGATTCTGGGTCTGTCCTAGCGGCAGGTTCTGGCTGCCCTTGTCTCTGCCCACCCAGATGAGCTCACCCCCTCCTTCCCGGAAGAGCCCTAGGCGCCGGGCCCCACTCCCCACACACACACACTGGCCCTTGTGCCCTGCAGGCTCCCCGGACTCGCGCTACATCCGCGTGGAGACGTGCATGTTCATGGTCAAGCTCCCGCAGTACTCCTCCCTGGAGACCATGCTGGAGAAGCTCCGCTGCGCCATCCACTACCGCGAAGACCCCCTGAGTGGCTGAGGGGAGGGCACCCCAGAGTCACTTGTCACCGAGGTACCACTCCACCGGCTGGGGAAGCCGCCAGCGCGGGCACGTCCCTCCGGGCCCCGCGTGAGGAGTCGGCAACATCCTGCTTTTCCGAACTCTCACCCGCTTCCGGGTCTCCTGGAAGCCCACCTTCGTGTTTGTACGTTTCGTGACGGGTTGGTTCTTTTGCTGTCTGTGGTATGTTTTGTAGGCTAGTGTAGTTCCCAGGCAGTTTGTGTCTCATTTGACCTTCCTGGACACTGTCTCTCACGGCCACTGGATTCTGACCCCACCAGGATCCAGTCACAGAACCACTGAGCAGGAAGGCAGGGGTGGTGGCAAGATGCCTTGGCCACAGCGCGTGTCCCGTTTGCCTCCAGCGGGCTCCTGCTGCAGGCCCGAACCATTGGGCCAGACACGCACGGGGAGCTTTGCGTGTCATCGCTGCCTCGAGAACCTCGTTGGTGGTCCGGGTTTCTCAGAGAAGCCCGCGGTGGATCATTCCCTAGCCTCTTCCGCAAACCCTCGGCTCTGCCGTCTCTCGGGGTTTCCCTCCAATGCTCCGTGGGAGCAGAGAACCAAAGGGCACGTTCCCGACCTGATCTGACCCGGGCTGAGCCCGTGCCAGCTGCAGGAGGGAGGAGGGCATCCGGCGGAGGAGGGGTGCGGCTGGGGTAGGGGCTGTTCCGGCACAGAACGGACGACCCAGACGCGGCCTGTCTCCTGTGCCTTGGGGACATGAGGGATGAAGACAGGCAAAGGCCTTTGAACAGAGCTGTTGTGGTGCTCTGCTCGGTCGGGGTCTGCTTCAGTGACTGAGACTTTCAAGTCCAAGGGGATGGCAGGGGAGAAAGGGCAGGGAGGGCTGGTCCTGCTGGCTAAAGCTGCCCAGCACCCCCCCACACCCCGTTGCCCTGTGCACATGCGCACCAGGGCTGAGCGCCAGGTTCGCCCACTGCATCTGTGCCCCAGTAGGTCTCAGTCCGTCTGATGGTACTTGGCCCCCGAGCAGCGTGTGCCCCTCTGTGGACACTGTCGTTTGGGCCTCGCCAGCTCTCACCAGGTCATCACTGTATTTACTGTATGATATTGTGAATATTGACGTGTGAGTGGCGCTGTCCCAAGGCTCGGCGTGCGCGTGTGCAGGAGGGTGAGGCCTCGTGGCCCTGCCCAGCCCTTGGCCCCCTGGGAAGCTGTGGAGCGTAGTCACAGCCATCGGCATCCACCTCCTCCCCGTTCCTCTTAGGAAGTGCAGGAAGGACCATGAGGCAAAGCTGACCTCGGGGATAATGTTTCTGGTGGCATCAGCAGCGTCTGATGCAGGGACCACCGTGGGGGAAGCCCCCCGCAAGCATTTTCCTGCTTGGAGAATCCGCTCAGTGGTCTGCTGCCTGGGGCGTGCCAGGCCGGAGCCCTGACCACAAGGATCCTCATTCTGTTTCTGCAGAAGGAAAGAGCCTCTGGATTTGCTAATGGGTTCGGGTCTTTTTAACTCCTCAGCCCCATGCCCCCATCCCATCCCCTAATGGACTGGGAGTGCTGCCAGCCCCTCCCAGGAAGGGGGAGTCCCGTGGGGAAGGTGTCTGCTGCTAACGGGACGCCCAGGCAGCCCAGCCACGTCCGGACAGAGCGAAACCGTGGCCCTAAACATGTGTGCTGTAAAGTTACTTGATGTATATTTATTATAATTATTTATGGTTGCATCTAACAGACTTTTCATCCAATTCGATGCTATTTACACCACTGCTGTGTAAAGGAGGCTCACTTACAGAAACAATGTGGCACCAATAAATAACCTTCATCTAATTTTGATCTGCCGTAAGCCTGTGCATCTACTCACGCTGAGGCAATTATCATTTTGCACTTGACATACTTAGCTCCCTGTGCTTATAAATTACCCACCTCCCCTCCCACCTCTCACGGATGATTTGCATATGAAAGGATAAGGTTGTTGAGGGGCCAGAGACATAATAGAGGATTAAGGCGCTCACCTTGCATGTAGCCGACCTTGGTTTGATCCCCAGTGCCAAAGTTCCCTAAGACAAAAATGAAGACTGGAGAGTCTGATGGGCAAGGACAAACTTTTGGCGAACCAGAGCAGAGGGGCCGAGTGCAAACACCGTCAGGGGGGGCACTGGCCCTGCATCCAGGTTCCATCCCCAGTGCCCCAGACGGCCCAGGAGTAATGACTGAGCGCAGAACCAGGAGTACCCTGAGCACTGCTGGGTGTGGCCCCCAAAAATAGACAAACCCCAATTCAGTGTAGATGCAAATTAAAGGAAGGATGGAGTTGGAAGACTCACTTTTCGGGATGGGGTAAGTCTAGTGGGAAGGGCGTTTGCTTACACAGCTGACCAGGTTTGATCCCCAGAACCACGGACAGTCTCCGAGCCAAGAGAAAAAAGGAAACGCTGAACATGGCTGGGTGGATTCCAAAGTCAAAGAAATAAATTTTTTTGAGTGGTGGAGGCTCCACCCTGCAGTGCTCAGGGCTTATTCCTGGCACAGCTCGGGGAACCCTAGGTGATGCTGGGGATCAAACCCGGGTCAGCTGCGTGCCAAGTAAGCACCCTTCCTGCTGTATTATGTCTCCGGCCCCTAAAATCGCCACTTGAATAGCACTCAAGCATAGAGCCTTGTGTGGGTCCAAAAACCTACTCTCGAAAGCAGACCTGTTCTAAAACTCTTGGGAACTTTCCTTTCCTTTGGAAGAAAACAGGCAACCAAACCCCACTGCTTACTTCACTCAGTAGCAAAGGGGGGGGTAGTTTTCCAGACCCCCAAGCATGAGCTCTTCCTGTTCCAGCTCAGAGGGTCCCTGGGGTCGGGCTCCGTGTCCTGCCTGCTGTCCCGGCTCCAGCGCCCAGTCCAAGGCAGACGCGGTAGGCCGCGAGAGCATTCCTCGTCATACAGAATCGACCCAGTTTGCGTCCTGGACCCTCATGAACTAGTGGCAGCGCCTTCTGCCAGTGGCCTTTCAGAGGGGACTGTAGCCCATTCTGGCCGCCTTCCCCTGTGAGGGTGCTGATCCAGAGCGAGTCTCCAGATGCCCTGGGAGCCACCTGGGCAGCTGTGGTGCTGAGGGGCTGCCGCGAGTGTGCGGGGCGCCCAGGCCTGTCACCTCCGCTGCAAGACTCCGGCTCTGCTCCCTGGAGACGCAGAAGGAACCAAAAGACTCAGTGGAACTCCAAGTACAAACTTTTATTTCTATTACAAGGATGTTAATAATTACAATAGCAAAATCAAAAGACAGGAAGGGGGCTGGGACACCTGCTCGGGCAGAGCCCCGCTTGGTCCGGGGTGAGGGGAGACGCTGGCCTTCTCGGTGGGAAAGCAGAAAAGACGAAACACACTCCCTCCCTGCAAGCACGAGTGACGCCCGCCCCTGGCCCCGTGCACTGCCGTCAGCCAGCGCCAGCTGAGGGACAGTCCTCACTGCAACTGGCCCGATGCGCCACGGGCTGCACACACAGCAGAAGCCCGAACGCTAGAAGGGAGGGGTGAAACACAGGACAAGCTCCCCAAAACCCCAAGCTTAGGTCCCCGCAGGGAAGGAAGAATCACTTGGCTGGTGGGTTTCCGGAAGGCGCGTCCACCAGAATTAGGCAGCACCGAGAATCAGTGGTGACAGGATGTCGAGAGTGAAGCCCTGGCGGGCTGCAAGGCTGTAACTTCAGGGCGAGCACTCAGCCGCCACCTTCCCCAGTGGCCTCCCTGCTAACCCTCCCTCGCACCCCAAACTCCCACAGCACAATCGCGAAAGACACAACGTGGCCGTAACCTAGAAAAGCGTCCTGAGGGCGGCGCCGTCACTCCTCTTCATCGGTACCCCCGGCTCCCGGCTGCTTCGGGGGTTTGGCCTGTTGGACAAGGAAAAACACAAGTTCACGTAGAAGACGCGAAAACCACGCGAGGCTCCGCCGAGCCCTGGAAATGTCGTGTTTCTCTGGGACGGGAGCCCCTTACCTTGGCAGCCCTGCGGTAGCTGGCAGGGGCGGCGGCGACCCGGGCACTCCTGCCACTGGAAGAGAAGGGTTGGAAACCCATTCCCGAGCGTGTCCCCAGAGCGCGGGTCTGATCCCAGACTGTCCAACCCTCCACGCCACCCCAGCCCATAGAGGTGGCCCGAGCTTCCCCCAGCTCTGCCAGCCCATTACTGAGCCACCTGGTACGCATAGCCAGGAGGGTCCCCCCAGCCCCCAGCGTGCTCAATGCTGCCCCTCCCACCCCCCCAGAAAATAAGCCAGAACCTGCTGGAACCAGACACGAGAGGGCAGCTCAGCCAAACCGCAGCCGAACTGCGGAAGCCCAGGCGGTTACCTTGCTCCGAATCTCCCCGCCGGCCCACGGGGGAAGGAGGGCGCCAGGTTTTCAGGGTAGAGGGTCCGAGCGGCCGGGTTGTGCCCGGGGGCCGGGGCCCCGCCGAGGCTGCTCCTGCTGCGCCCCCGGGGGTCCTGGCTGTCCAGGTTGCTGAGCTTCAGCACCCGGGGCGGGCTGAGCTGGCAGGCAGATCGGCTGCTCGGTGCGGCGGCCGACAGCTGGCTGCAGGGGGGCGCCACACTGCTCAGGGGGCTGCCGGGGGCCAGAGGGTAGGCGGGCCCTTTCGCCTGCTTCGTGTTCTCCAGGTAGCCGAAGGACAGGTCACCTGCGAAGAGCAGAGCGCCAGCTGCAGGGGAAGCCTGCTGGGCTGCTAAGGCTGGGCTTCGGGGAGGAGCAAAGACGATTCTGGGCCGGGGAGAGCCGGAGGCGGCCTGGGTTCCATCCCCAGCACCCACTGGTCCCCGAGTCCCACTGGGAATGACCCCTGAGCACTGCATCAGGAGTAACCCGAGCACCACTGGGTGTGGCTTTTGATTTGACCCAAAAAGGGGGTGAGGGTAGGCGGGGAGACAGGGTCCAGGTAAGCCACGTCTGATCTCTGGTACCCCCTGTGGTTTCCCGAGCACTGCCAGGAGTGACCCGGTCTGGCCCAAACCTCACCCCCTCCACAAAAGGTTCTGTTCAACCGCAGCCACCTCTCCCCTAAGGATGACAGGAAACTAGCACCTGTGTCTCCAGGACGGGGTCAGGGGGACAGGCATTACCAAGTCCTCAGCCGGCCTCCTACCTACTCAACAAGGGTGCAGCCAAGGGAGAACTCGAATGGACTCGAGAGCAGTTTCAGAAACGGTTTCTATGCCTGCTTCTGAAGCTCCTAAATCCATGAGCCCCAGGAGTGTTTCTTAGTTTGGTCTGTTTGGGGACCACACCCAGCGGTTCTCATGACTTCCTCCTAGCTCTGTGCTCAGGGTGCCCCTAGGGGTGCTGGGTCAGCTGCATGCAAGGCAAACGCCCTGCTTGCTTTCCTGTGGCTCCGGCCTCCCCGCTGAGCCAGCTTCACGGCTGTCTCTGACACCATCCCCTGCAAAGCAGCTTGTCTCCAGGGAGTGGTCTCGCCAGTCCTATACGCGTGCTATTTCCGGTAAAGCCCCTTTAGAGCGGCAGAGAACAGTAAGGGAGAATGGTTCGACTGGACTGTAGCAAATGGATCGAAGGCAGGAGCCCAGGGCTCGATCCCTGGCACCACATATCCCCAAAACCAGAAGAGAATGAGTCAGCTGGCCCGAGGCAGCAGGCTGGGCTCGGCTCTGGCCAATACCTTGGTGTCGGATGCGTCTCTTGGGCAGCTCCGGCGAGGTGGCTGGAGGTCGGGAATCCTGTCTGGGAATCCCCTCCATCACGTGGTAGTTTGCTGTGACTGGCCTTTGGTCACACTGGTCCTAAAAAGAAGAAACAGTCACTGCCTGGGACTGAGTCATCCCTGGGGGGGCAGGTGCGGTGACAGCGCAGCAAGTTGGGTGGACACTGATCTGCTTGGCGGTCACTAAGGGGCTTTGGCCTAAGCGGAAGCACGTCGGGAACGCAGCCACTGTCCCACTAAGCACCCAAATAGCTGCTCATTCCCTGGCCTCCGGCTCCATCCTATGTGCTATAGCAACTACAGAAACGGTACAACAGGGGACAAGGGGGAGGACAGCGCGTATGAGCCTGCCCTACATGTTGGCAACCCGGGTTCCCTGAGGACTGCTGGATGTGGCCCCGAAACAAGAAGATGCTAGTAGTGCCTCCAGACCTGCAGTGTTATCCTCCCCGCAGCAAACAGAATCTGTCAGGAAGATACTCTCGCTAGAAGGATGGACCCTAGGCTGTAAACCTGAGAAGGGACCTTCAATTGTGTCACCCAGCTCCTTCAGGCACAGATGTCCCCAAGAAGGGAGGAGGACCGACCGAAGGCCAAGCGTAAGGCAAAGGAAGCACTGGGCTCCCAGACCTTCAGGGGCGCAAGACCCCAGTGCTGCCACGCTGGGGGGCATCTGCCTCTCACCTGGTGATGGAACAGCACCTCCTCCTCCAGCTGGACCCCACAGAATTCACACGGGATGATGACGCTGTCCTCTGCCGGGGCTGAACTTTTCAACCCCATCAGAGAGTCCAGCTGGTTACTTGCGGCCTCCTGCAGAAGCTTCTGGAAGATGACATCAGGGTCCTCTACCCCTCGAGGGGAAGGGCTGCCCACATTGAGCGGGGGTAAGGAACATGAAGGGTTACAGCTTGTCTGTCTCCAAAAACAGTGGGGAAAAAAAGAGAGGTTAGGGAAAAATACATCCCTAAAACATTTTCTCAAAGTTATGAAATTTAAATGATTAACACTGGGGATATCAAGGGTGAAGAGAATACAAACCTAACACTCCCTCTGGTTTTAAAGTTTCCTAAAATTACGGCACAAGGGATCAAGCCCAGAGCCTCGTACGTGGTGCAAGGTTTTGTTTTCATTTTGTGTGTTTATGTAATTATTCTCTTTAGTCAGAAATGACTTGAGATTCTCCCACAACTGTACAAGTATGAGCAGCTCTTCTGTTGTGTCATCCCTGCTAAATCTCCAGTGCTATTCGCAGACCAGATAGAAGTGTCCAAACATGGTCTCATTCCCCTCCTGGAGGTTGAGCCTTCAGCCAGGAGAGCCGCAGGGCTACTTACCAGCTGTGGGAGTGCCGGGCCGGGCTCAAAGAAGAGGAACCGAGACGCTGGGGCAAAGGGCTCCCTCCCTCCCTCCCTCAGCCCGTCTACAAACCCCAAAGATGGGTTTCTTATCATCCCTAACTGGACAAGAAACTTCAGGGATACAAAGAGATGGTTCCAGGGCTGAGCACACGCATGGCACGCAGGAGGCCTGGCTGTGAATCCCCATGTAGCTGGGGAACCGCCACATGCCCCCAAGCGCAGAGCAGCCCTGAGCACTGTCAGGGATGGCCCAAGGGGCCTCGAAAAGAAATTTCAATCATTCCAAAGTAGTCAGAAGCCCTGAAGTCAGCGCAGCAGCTTGAAGAGCTGGCCTGGGGGTGCAAGCTGAAACCCTGGCACTGCCCTCACAGCCCAGAGGTGATCCTGGCGCTGCCATGGTCTGGAATCCCGAGAAACACTCAGACACATGGCCTGGGGGTCCCCCACAGGGAGGGAGAGAGCCGCCCACATCTCACCAGCTCAGGGAAAGCCCAGAACCTTCCTCAAGGGTCAGCCCCCATCAGAGAAAGAGGAAGAGGAGACGGCAAAGACCACACGGGGGGTGGGGGGGGTGCAGCCAGGAGGGACGCTGGCCCTGCAGGTCCTCGGCACCCCCTGGGGTCCCCCGAACTCCGCCAGAAATGTCCTTGAGTTCAGAGCCAGAAATGAGCCCTGAGCACCACTGGTTGAGGCCCCCCCACCCCACAAAATAATAAAAACCTCGGAGTCCAGCCAGGTGGTGTAAGTGGCAGAGTGCATGCAAGGCCCCCGTTTCACCCCCAGCCGCAGGTGGCCCCAGAGGACACGCAGGCTTAGCCCAGTGGCCCCTCAAAACACCTGCACTGCACTGTAGCATTGTCCTCCTGTTCATCGATTTGCTCGAGTGGGCACCAGTAACGTCTCACAACAAATTGTGAGACCTGTCATTACTGTGTTTGGCATATTGAATACATCACAGGGAGCTTGCCAGGCTCTCCGAGAGGGGCAGAGGGGAGAGTGACCCTAAACAAAAAAATAAAAAGTGGGCACGAGACTTGGGGAGCTCACCTGGCTCACCATACACACAGACTCTCTCTCTCTCTCTCTCTCTCTCTCCAGCCCCCCTAGGAAAGGCACAGTGGCTGGGGCTGCAGGGGCACTGTGCCTTCCCAGGAGGAAGCAGATTCTGCCCCCTCGCCCGCACGCCAGTCTCAGCACCATCCATGCAGTCACCGCATAGACAGTCCAGATGAGTGACGCACCTGATGGTCGATGAGCAACTCCTCCGGGTACAGCTCCTCACAGAACTCGCAGGGCAGCATGGTCTCACCGTCCGCACCTGCACGGCAGGCCATAGTCTCACGCCCCCACTCGCTCCTGGCCTCCTCCCACCCGCGGCGGCCTACAGTATTGCTTAGAGGGGCTAGACAGTCTCCAAAGCTAATGACACAAAGGCCCTGGGAGAAGTAGCCCTGGTGTGGCCCCGCAAAAGTAAAAGCCTAAATTGCAAAACTCTGCATTTTGAGAACAACAAACTCGGGGGGCTGGAGTGATAGCACAGCAGGTAGGGCATTTGCCTTGCACACGGCTGACCCGGGTTCGATTCCCAGCATCCCATAGGGTCCTCTGAGCACCGCCATAAGTAATTAATTCCTGAGTGCATGAGCCAGGAGCAACCCCTGAGCATCGCCGGGAATGACCCAAAAAGGAAAAAAAAAAAAAGAAAACAACAAACTCTACGAGACATTATACACATGTGCAGAAAACTTGAGTTGATTTTCCTGATATTTGTAATATGCTTGGTGACATAGGTAAACAAGGGCTAACTTTTCAGCAATGCGTGTTTATAGGAATTTTTGTCTTACACATCATTCTTAACTAGTTCACAGGGAGAAAAAAATCACTAGAAGAAAGTGGAAAATAAAATTGGTGACTATAGGCCAGAATATGTAGTCGGTGCTGCGGTCTGGTCGAACACGCCGCCTACCTGTATCGCTGATCGGGACACTGGGGCTGGCCCGGGACTGGCCCACCTCGCACATGGCCTTCCAGAAGCCCTGCTCGGCCACACTGGGCAGCTGGCCTTCATTCTGCAGGCTAAGAGCCAACATGTAGTCCAGGTTTGCGCTGTCTTCGCCGCCCACTCCAGGGGGCTGTCTGCTCCCATTTCTTTCCTGCCTTTCTTGTTCTTCCACTGGGGGGAAAAAAAACTGGGGGCTGGAGTGACAGAACAGCAGGTGGACTCTACCTTGCACGTGGCTGACCCAGATTCAACCTCCAGCATCCCACAGGGTCCACCAAGCACCTCCAGGTGTAACCCCTGGGCGTCATCAGGTGTGTCCCAAAAAGCCAAAATACATCTATATAGAACACTGACTGGTTCAACATCCTGACATCACATACGGTTCTCCAAGCACCACCAGGATTCACTCCTAAGCATAGGGCCAGGAACAGCCCGAGCACCTTTGGGCATGGCCCCCCCCCCCCCAAAAATTAAATAAGGGGCTGGAGCGATAGCACAGCAGGTAGGGCATTTGCCTTGCACGCAGCCAACCCAGGTTCGATTCCCAGCATCCCACAGGGTCCCCTGAGCTACGGCCAGGAGTAATTCCTGAGTGCATGAGCCAGGAGTAATGTGCATCGCCGGGTGTGACCCAAAAAGAAAAAATAAATAAAAGTAGAGAGCGGCCAGTGAGTTGGATTCCGTGCTTCACAGAAGCCTCAACCCACAGTCAGCCTGATGGCAAATATTAAGTGCGCCGTGATGAAAGGCTCCACTATTCCTTCCCTAGAACAGGAACTCGGACGCAACAGACGGGGCCTATGGAGAGGCGGGCATCATGCTCTCCCGCATGATGCTCCCTGCACTCTGGAGCATGACCGAAGCACGCCCAAACTCGACTCCCAACTCGCCACCCTGCCACCCGCGTGCCCTGCAGCTGCCTCAGCCCAGGTGCCCTTCCTGTCACCACCCGGCCCAGCGGCTGCTCCGATCCAGCCCACTCGCGTTCCTGAGCCCGGCGCGAACTCACGTCGGCTGCTGCTGTGCCCCGGAAACTGGGACCCCATGTCCCTTCGCTCAGGGGTCCCGCCGTGGAAAAGGTTCGACTCGAAGTCCCTCAGGGGCCGTCGTGGGAGCCGGGTGGGGGGGTCCAGGGCCTCGATCTGTCTGAGGAGCTGGGACGCGATCCAGATTCCGTCCTGGCCCCAGGGCGCGTCGTAGGTGTCGGGAGACGGGGGCTCCTCGGCCCGCTTGGCCTCCACGGCCTGGCTGCAGACCGCGGGGTGGGCCTTGAGGTCCTTGACCAGGACGTTGCGCCCACAGGTGCCACAGAGCTCGGTGCGGGCGCCGCAGTACTCCTCGTGCTCCTGCAGCCTGACCACGGCCAGCTCCAGCTCGCAGTGCTGGCACCGGGCCAGCCGCAGTGGACACTCGGCCTCCTGCAACACAGGGGCAGCAGTGACCTGAGAAAGGCCACGCCAGGGCTGACCACTACTCTGGGCTGTCCACTTGGGGGCCGGGGGCTGAAGGAACTGCGCGGTGCCGGGGGTTGAATCTGAGGCTCCCACACGCCCCAGCCACCAGCTCAGCTCTCTCCTCCAGTGCTGCTGTTTCCAGGACCCCGCTTCCCCCCAGAGCTGGGATTAAGCCCAGGCTCTCGCGAGGTCACGCGTGAGCTCTGCCCCTAGCTGAGTCTTGCCCCAGGCCCTGGCATGATTTTCTACGCATTAAAAAAAGAAGAAAAAAAATAAAAGCTTCTAGGGACTCGAGTGGTTGTACGGGGGGTACGGCTCTTGCCTTGCACGTAGCCGACCCGGATTCGGTCCCCCGCATCCCCCGAGTCCCCACTAAGCACTACAAGGAGTCATTCCTGAGTGCAGAACCTGAGTGTTCTCCTGAGCATCGCCAGGTGTGACCCCAAGAGCATAAATAAGTCAGCTTGCGAGTCAGGAAGGTAGCGACCCCAGGCAACTGTCCAGGAGCAGTCCCTGAGCACTGTAAGGTGTGACCCAGAAGCTAGGAGGAGGGAAAAAGTGAGGAATCAGCTCCTGGAAAGCTCAGACACCACATGCTCATCTGACAGGCACCATAAGATCCTAAGTCCTCTTTTTCCTTTTCCCCTGATTCTATGGGCAAAGAGTCCTAGAAGAAAGCTGTCCACCCAGCTACTCCCAATCATTTGGCGTCCATTTTACAGAGAGCCCAGAACCAGCTCTCTGGGAAAGCCACACAGCCCATTGGGGCCCCCAGAAACACCCTGCGCCCACACACACAGGCCCACCAACCTCATGCTTCTTCAGCTGCCTCTTCTCCAGCTTCTTATTGCACTTGCAGGTGACCTACAAGAAGCAGCCAGGCGTCAACCGACCGAGGCCCACCGCAGCCCACACCCCCCGGGCAGGGGCCTGACCTGACAGTGGTCTGCGGCCATGTGCGCCTCCATCTCCGATTTGGGACATGGCTCCTTGCAGACGGGACACACGCCGATGTTCCTCTGACAGTGGATCTCGTGGATAGTAAAATTAAACACAGGAATCTCTCTTTTGCTACCGAAAGAAGACAGGCATCACTCCCGGCACCTCAGGTCCCCTGGGCACCTCCAAAAGAGACCCCAGAGCACTGAGTAGGGAGTAGGCCCTGAGCTCTCATTGGTAGGACTCAAAATCAAGAGTTACATTCTGAAAAGTTTTCGTTGTCTGGGAGCAGCTTGAGGTCATACCCAGTGGTACTCAGGGACTATTCCTGGCTCCACGGGGCTCTGCGTTTAGGGTCACTTCTGGGGGTGCTCTGGGAACTAGGCCGTGCTGGGGGAATCCATGCTCGGAACCATGCGGTACCAGGGACTGAAGCAGACCCCCCCACCCCCGGCCTGGAGGCTTCGTGCTTTCTGTACAATGCTCCCGGGGAGAAGCTGCGTGGCCAGTGGCGTTTCCTCTCGAAAGCTGCCTCGCTTCAGTGCCAGGGAGAGTTCTGCCTATGCACCTGAGGGATTCGGGGCAAATATAGAGTTCTTCAATCCATTTTGACTTGACTTTTGTGCATGGCGTTAGAAAAAGGCCTGAGTTCTCATGTTTTTACACGTCAAAGACTGAGGAACCATACACCGAGGACCCGTCTCTGGGTCACACCCAGCGCTGCTCAGGGGTTACTCCTGGTTCTGCACTCAGGAATCACTCCTGGTGGTGCTCGGGGGACCATATGGGATGCTGCGAATTGAACCCGGGTTGGCGGCATGCAAGGCAAATGCCCTCCCCGCTGTGCTATCACTCCAGCCCCCGTCTCTGGATTTTCAATTCTATTCCACCAACCTGAGCTCAGGCCTCACGCCAGTGTGAATTACTACTGCTTGGTGGTACTGTTTGAAGTGGGGGAAAGCGATGCCTCCCATCTCCCTTCTCCCAAGGATTGTGCCATCGTCAGGACTGTTCCATCTGTTTCCTTGGAACCCGCCCTGGGCACCGTCATTGGGAGTGAGCTAACTGGTGTGGTAACGCTCAGGGGCATACTGCCAATCTGATGAAGTCAACCTCCCAATCGATGAGCTGCTGGAAGACTTCAGACTTGCCTCTCTTAGAACATTCTCCCCGGCACCACAGGTGGTCCCCCGAGCCCACCAGGAATGAGCCCTGAGCACAGCTGATGTGCCCCAAAACACAAAAACACACCTAAGAAATAAGAGATATTTCTTAGATTCAGTTCCTTACCAGTTGTCGCAGAGTCGTGTGTCCGGGTCATCCAGGAATTCAGCCATGTCTGCTCTTCCTGGAAACTATAAGGAAGAAATTCAAACTTTCAGTTTCATTTCTGCCCTGAGGATGACATGCAAAACACGAACCAGGAAACCACTAAACATTAACGTCACCAATGCTAGAATAGTGACACACTTTTAATGTCCAACATCCCACAGCTTTCCATAACTTTTAAATTTTCATGTAAAAAAATTTTTACTTGAGGCTTCAGAGATAGTATAGCGTGTCAGGGGGCTTGCCTCATATACAGCCAATCCAGGTTTGATCCCTGGCACCCGTATGGTCCTCCAAGCCACACCAAGAGTGATCCCTAAGAACAACCAGGAGTCAGCCCCGAGCACTGCTAGGTGTAGGCACCCCCCAAGAAAATTTTTAGAAAAGTGTAAAATTAATTTTACTTACAAAAAAAAAGCAAGAAATTTTTTTTCAAATACCCCCGAATTGTATTGACCACGGTAACAATTAACCACAGTAACAATTAAAAAAAAGAGGAAATAAACATTAAAGCAATACAAAACTAAAAACTAGTCCTCAGTCACCTCACTAATGCCTTTTTGCTGCTTGAGAATCCAATCTGAAACCCCAACATTGCATTTTATTATCTCTCCATAGTCTTCTCTGATCTAGGACATTTCTTCAGTCTGCCTATCTCTTTGTTTTTTGTGGGGGGAGAAGAACTTGGGGTGCTGATAGTCTGAGCACTCCCAGTCCAGTGCTCAGGGCTATCCTGGTAGTGCCAGAGACAGAACCCAGGGCCTCCTGAACTAAACACTCCAGCCCTTTGCATGCTCTCAGCCCTGGACTTCACCCTCACAGTGGTGGGGGTGTGCTGGCCACTGAGTGTGTAAAAACACCTCATGGGGGCGGAGCGATAGCACAGCAGGGAGGGTGTTTGCCTTGCACTCGGCCGATCTGAGTTCAATCCCTGGCATCCCATAATAGACCCTTAAGCACCACCAGGAGTAATTCATGAGTGCAGAGCCAGGAGTAACCCCTGAGCATCACTGGATGTGACCCAAAAAGCAAAAAATAAATAAATAAAACACTTCATTTGGGTTTGCTCTAAATTTTCTCCTGATTAATGTACTTTGGGCCAAAGTGCTCACCTGAAGATCTTGTCAGAAAGCACATTGTGGGGCTGGAGTGATAGCACAGCGGGTGGGACATTTGCCTTGCACGCGGCCGACCCGGGTTCGATTCCCAGCATCCCATAGGGTCCCCTGAGCACCGCCAGGGGTAATTCCTGAGCGCAGAGCCAGGAGTGACCCCTGTGCATTGCATTGCATTTCGGGTGTGACCCAAAAAGCAAAAAAAAAATAAATGCACATTGCAACAGGTATGCTAACCTGAAACAGCTGAGTTTGTGTCCAAGAAGTTTCTCCAATCTCCAAGGTTTTGTTTGTTTCTTTGTTTACTTATTCATCTCTTTATTTTGGTGAAGCCCAAATTGTTTTTATTGAGCAAAACTTACTTAGGAAGATGTGAGGGATTTGCGGGCGGGGTGGGAGTCCAGGGTGGGACACCTGCCTGCATACAGGGTCCCAGGATCCACCCCCAGCCGCAGGGAGAGATTAAAACAAAAAGGGGGGGGGCTGGAGGGATAGCACAGCGGGTAGGGTGTTTGCCTTGCACATGGCTGACCCTGGGTCGCTTCCCAGCATCTCATAGGGTCCCCTGAGCACCGCCAGGAGGAATTCCTGAGTGAGGAGCCAGGAGGAACCTCTGTGCATCTCTGGGTGTGGGTGTGACCCAAAAAGCAAAAAAAAAAAGGGGGGGAAGCTGGAGCGATAGCACAGTGGGTAGGGCATTTGCCTTGCACGCGGCCGACCCGGGTTCGATTCCCAGCATCCCATATGGTCCCCCGAGCACCGCCAGGGGTGTTTCCTGAGTGCAGAGCCAGGAGTAACCACTTGAGCGTTGCCGGGAGTGACCCAAAAAGCAAATAAATAAAACAAAAAAGAGACCCCGGGTGTCTCCAAAGTAGAAAAAGCTCCAAGCAAAGAGACCAGGACAAGCAAAGGTGCCGCAGGCGGGTGCATGGAGGAGCTGGTTTCTCTTTTTCAGCCAAGTCGGGGTCAGGGTCAGAGCTCGGTGGTGGAGCGCATCCTTCGGACCGATGACACCCAAGACACAACACTTAATAGAGAGCAGAGAAGGGGCCAGAAAAACTCCACGGAGGCCAGACACTTGCCATGCACAGCTTCATGGTTTCCTTGGCACCACCCTCGAGTCTGCCAGGGTTCATTGCTGAGCACCACTGGGGGTGGCTCAGGGCACCCCCCCCCAAGAAGAGTCAAAGCAGAAAGCCCAGGGCTACAAACGTGACGCTCCGCATTTCATGCAGATCACCCCTTCCCGGGTCAGGAGCGCCTCAGTGCCCTGACTGGGCCCGGCGCTGGGGAGGGCTCAGAGCCATTTACTGAAGGAGAGAAATAGGCAAATGCGGGTATCTTGCACCTGAGGGCTGTCGCTTGCCTTTGTGGTTTGTGCTGGGGATGAGCCCTGCCAGGGAGTCAAGCCCAGGCTCCTGCACGGGGTGCAGCCTTTGACGGGACCCAAGTTCCAGAACTTGAATGGAAACATGTGGATGGAAGCAGATAAAGTGAAGGCCATCAACGTGAAGTAAGTGTGCTCAGGGCAGAAAAAAATTCTTTGCTGTTTTGGCCCCAGGGGTGCCAGGGGCTACTCCGAGCTCTGTGCTGGGGGTGGGGGACCATTCAGTACTGGGGGTGACCCCGGCCTCCTGCTGTAGTCGGTAAACCAGCCTCGAGGCCCAGGAGTTTTCTGTTCTAGGGGGAAAAAAGTTTCAGATAAACCTTTGGGAGGGCCTGGAGAGCTGTGAAGGCCCTTGCTTTGCACAGGGCTGGGCCGGGTTTGATCCCAGAGGGCAGAGCCAGGAGCCTCTGGGCCTCGCTGGGTGTCGCCCCAAAACAAAAACAAAAACTCTGAGGTGACTTTTGAGGGGAGTAGGGGCCAGCAGAGGCAGAGACGGGCGTGGGGTCGGGAGCAGAAAGTCAGGCAGACCCACGCAAGGAAAGGGGGCGCTCGCAGGGGGTCTCACCTGCTCTCCTCCAGGGTCCAGAAGCGACGGGCACCCCCGAGAGCGGCTCAGCTCGGGCACAGCCCGGACGGGACGCACCTGGGGGAAAAGCTCAGGGTCAGGATCCCGAGGGGTGCGGCCCGAAGCCGTTTGGGGGGAGGGGCCCCACGTTCTAGGCCTCTGCGGAAGCCCCCTCCCCAGAGGCCGAAGCCCCCCAAGGCAAGGCCTGGAGGGGCCAAGCGGGGCCTGGCTCCGGGCGTGCCCCCCAGAGGCGTCACCGAACCCTGGGGCCAGGCGGGACGCAAGGTGGGGGGGGCACCCTGAGCCCGTCCCAGCGCCCGGAGGGGGGATCCGCGGGGGGGGGGGCGCGGGACGGGCGTGCGGGGCTGGCACGGGGCGGGCACCGGGCATGGCATGGAGCGTGCGGGGCGGGCACCGGGGTGGCACGGGGCGGGCACCAGGGCTGGCACCGGGCCGGGCGTCGGCGTGCGGGGCCCGCGCGGGGCGAGTGACAGGAGGCGGCGGCCGCCCGGCTCCGCGGCGAGGAGGGACCCCCGGGGCGGGGGGTGGGGGCTCGCCCGGCGGGCAGCGTCGGGGTCGCGGGGCGGGTCTCCGCCGACGCCCGGAGGACGCGCGGCCCCCGGCGCGGGCCGAGACGCCGCGACCCCCGGGCCGGAGCCGGGCGCGCTCCCCGCCCCCCGACGGCGGCTCGGCCCGAGGCGGCCCGCGCGAGGCCGCCCCGGCGCAGGCCGCCCGCCGCGACGCTCACCTGGAAGCCGCGACTCGGCGCCCCCAGAGCCGCCAGCAGCCCCGGCGCTCGGGCGGCCCGCACCGAACAACGGCCCCGGAGCCGCCTCGCCGCTTCCGAGCGTCACGGGGCCGCGCGCCCATTGGCCCGGGCCCGCCCCGCCCGCCGGCCCATTGGCCGGCGCGGCCGTCGCTCCCGGGGTCCCGCCTTCTGCGCGCCGATTGGTTCCCGCGGCCCCGCGGGGGCGTGTCCCGGGAAGTCCCCGGGCGGGCGGGGGCGCGGGGCGCCGGGGCGGGCGCGGCAACCGTCGGGGGCGCGGGGCGCGGGCCTTGCGGGGCATGACCCCGCGCAGGCATTGCCCACGCACCCGATGGGCTCGCACGCGTAACGGCCTCCGCTGTCACGAGCCGTTGATAGTTCGCAGTCGTCCTGGCCGCTCTTCGCACGCGCTCGTGCAGCCCGCATTTGCGCAAGGGCGGTTCAAGCCCCGGTTTCTGCGCCTGCTGCCCGTGCGGGTCTCGGCGCTCCCCTTCCTCCCACAGACCGTCGGCATCCGCAGGTCCCAGTGTCCCTGAGACCCAGTTACAGCCGTTTCGAGGCTCGCGGGCCGAAGGACGGCAGCTCAGGCTCTGGAGAGGGATCCTTGGGTACCGCCGGGGGTGGCCCCAAACAAAATAATAATAATAATAATAAAGAAACCGCATTGCTTATGTGTATTTTCCTTGTGGAATTGCTTTGATAAGCAAAAACTAAATAGCTAAATAAATAAAACAATAGAGAGAACTGAGTGGCTAAAGTCCGAGATCCCAGTCTAGTCGCACGTGGCACCTGGCAGCACTGTGGACCCAGACGCCCCCCAGTAGGGGTGGGAGAGGTCGCATAGAGGCGCAGACACTTGGGGTCCTGTTTGTTTTCTCCTGGCGTCACACCTGGCAATGCTCAGGGCTTACTCCTGGCTCTGCACTCAGGAATTTCTCCTGGCGGTGTTAAGGAGACCATATGGGAAACCCAGAATAGAGCCCGGGTCGGCCTCATGCCAGGCAGGTCCCTTCCCTGCAATCCTAACACATTTGTTTGCATGTGGCCCACCCCAGTGCAATCCCGGACACCATGTGTAGTCCTTCTGAGCACCACCAGGGGTCACTCCGGAGCATGGAGCTGGACTAGCTTCGGAGCACCACAGAGCCCCAAGCAGAAAAGGGTTCAAAGGGTGCAGAGCATGCTGTATGCAC